CTAATAGTTAACAACTTAACAACTTGGGGGCCATGCTGGAGATGGAATGATAGAATTTTGCAAGACCCCAACAGCTTGTTCATTACAAATACTTTTTTTTTTTTTTAACAACATAAAGGGTACCTATACAAGCGCACTTTGTCTGATGGAGCACATAGGAATCAAATTGACTACATTTGTGGGAAGAGATCACGGAGAAGTTCAATATTATCAGTCCAGAAAAGGCCAGGGACCAACTGGCTGTGGAACAGACCATCAACTTGCTCATATGCAAGTTCAGGTTGAAGCCGAAGAAAATGAAAACAAGTCTACAAGAGTCAAAATACAAGCTTGAGTATATCCCACCTGAATTGAGAAATCATATTTATCTTAAGAACAGATTTGGCTCGCTGGACACCAATGACTGACATCAAGAACATCATAAAAGGTCAATAAAAAGAAAAGAAAGAAAAAACCAAAGTGAATATCAAAAGAGACTCTGAAACTTGCTCTTGAAAATATAGTAGCTAAAGTGAATGGACAGGAACTGTGGTAGAGTAGTGGTTACGAATCGGGCTGCTAACCTCAGGGACAGCAGTTTGAAACTACCAGCTGTTCCATGGGAGAAAGATGAGGCTTTCTGCTCCCGTAAAGATCTGTGCAGAGTCACTATGAGTCGGAACCAGCTCCATGGCACATAACAACAACAAAGCGAATGGAAGAAATAATGAAGTACAAGAACTAAACAGAATTTTTCAAAGGACAACTCGAAAAGACTAAGTAAAGTATTATAATGAATGCACAAAAACCTGGATTTAGAAAACCAAAAAGGAAGAAGAGGCTTAGCATTTCTCAAGCTGAAAAAACTGAAGAAAAATTCCAGCCTAGAGGTGCAACATTCAAGGATTCTATGGGCAATAAAAGGAGTCTTGATGTGGTGCTGTAAGATAAGCACTGAAACTCAAGGTCAGTTTGAGACTCAAGGTCAGTGGTTCAAACTCACCAGCCGATCCTTGGAAATCCTGTATAAGGTCACTATGGACTGGAATTGACTCAACAACATTTAATGATAACATTGATTGATGTGGTGGTGGCTGTGTGCCGTGGAATCGGTTCCGACCCACAGTGACCCTGTACAGGGTTTCCGAGGCTGTAAATCTTTACGGGAGCAGAACACCTCATCTTTCTCCCACGGAACAGCTAGTAGTTTCGAACTGCTGACTTTGTGGTTCGCAGCTTGATTCGTAACTACACTACCAGAGCTCCTTATATTAAATGATGTAGGAAGCATCAAATGAAGAAGAAAAGAATACAGAGTAACTATTCCAAACAGAATTGACTGAAGTTTCAGGAGGTAACATACTATCAAACACCAGTGATATTGAAGAAAGTCCAAGCTGCACTGACAGTATTTGTGAAAAGCAAGCCTCCAGACCTACATCTATGGAAGCAGTAGCTCAAAAGAGTGAACAAGTCCTTATAGCAAGAATCATTCCCACCCCCTCCACACACAGAGTAGACAGGGATGGGCAATTTGGTCATTGGCTACCCAAAATGGGGGGTGGGGGACTACAAAGGCAAGAAGTGACTGGCTTACAAGCTTTCAAGAGGGAACCTAGATCCAGAGGGCCTGGAGGAAGGTAGAATCTCCAGTGAGTAGTATTTAATCTGACTAGCCGGGGCTGATGCAACGAAATGCAGACGGGTCTCTTGTGATACAACAGTGAATAATTGTTATCAGGACTGACTGTGAGGGTTGGAAATGTAAAGGTGGACATTTTATAGCAAGGAGGGGCGTGATTGACTGACTTTTCAGTCTAGGAGCGGAGGTCCCTAGGACCATCAAGGGAGAAGAGCAGAGAGCGGGA